ATCCCAGGATTTGGGGATCCTAAATCCCAGGATTTGAGGCTTTGGATGCAACATGAGGAGTTTGGGATCTCTCTGTGTCTGATGGGAAGGATCCATGACCCTGAATCCCAGGATTTGGGGATCCTAAATCCCAGGATTTGAGGCTTTGGATGCAACATGAGGAGTTTGGGATCTCTCTGTGTCTGATGGGAAGGATCCATGACCCTGAATCCCAGGGTTTGGGGATCCTAAATCCCAGGATTTGGGGCTTTGGATGTGACATGAGGAGTTTGGGATCTCTCTGTGTCTTGGGGGAAGGATCCATGATCCTGAATCCCGAGATTTGGGGATCCTAAATCCCAGGATTTGGGGATCCTAAATCCCAAGATTTGGGGCTTTGGATGCAAGATGAGGAATTTGGGATCTCTCTGTGTCTCCTGGGAAGGATCCATGACCCTGAATCCCAGGATTTGGGGATCTTAAATCCCAGGATTTGGGGCTCTGGATGCGACATGAGGAGTTTGGATCTCTCAGTGTCTCCTGGGAAGAATCCGTGACCCTTAATCCCAATTTTTGGGGCTTTGGATGGAAGATGAGGAGTTTGGGATCTCTCTGTGTCTGGTGGGAAGGATCCATGACCCTGAATCCCAGGATTTGGGGATCTTAAATCCCAGGATTTGGGGCTTTGGATGGGACAGGAGGAGTTTGGGATCTCTCTGTGTCTCCTGGGAAGGATCCATGACCCTGAATCCCAGGATTTGGGGCTTTGGATGTGACATGAGGAGTTTGGGATCTCTCTGTGTCTGGTGGGAAGATTCCATGACCCTGAATCCCAGGATTTGGGGATCTTAAATCCCAGGATTTGGGGCTCTGGATGCGACATGAGGAGTTTGGATCTCTCTGTGTCTGGTGGGAAGGATCCATGACCCTGAATCCCAGGATTTGGGGATCCTAAATCCCAGGATTTGGGCCTCTGGTTGGAAGATGAAGAGTTTGGGATCTCTCTGTGTCTGGTGGGAAGGATCCCTGACCCTGAATCCCAGGATTTGGGGCTCAGGAGTTTCTGGGATAT